CGTTCGTGCTTCTACTACTACGGCTAGTACCGCTACGACCACGATTGTTACGTTTGCAACTACCACAGTAGTAAGTCGATCTCTTTCGTTGGTAACACGAACACAGACAGATACGATGTAGCGCAGGCGGTGGGCACTGCATTACAGCCCGTTGTACACACAGACTATGGACGATGCGCTGCGCCACGGTTCCATGGAGAGCCAGAACGCCACGGGTTAGGAACAGCACGCGACATTTTCATTCTTGCTATGCTGTGTACTCCCCCTCTGATTACTCACCATCAGCTCCGAGGTTCTTTCAATTGCCGTTCCCTTTTCCTTCTCCCCCGCTCCTTTCCAAAGATGTTGCGCCTCTTTCATCAGATTCCCCTTCTTCGTCTTCCTCTGCCTCCCTCTTCTCCCGGCCCACGTCCACCCTCCCTTGTTTCCCCGCTTGGCTCCCCAACCATGTTTTCCAGAGGTGTAGAAACTATTACAACACCATCATCCACATCGTTCTCCCCTTTTTTTTGCAGTCGGACCGAGGTATAAGACCGAGGTGGTTCGGGGAGGGTGCCCTCCTCATGTTCTTCGTGGTTGTTGGATGTTCTCTTGCATGTTGCGGATGGTACCCGTGCATGTTATGTTTGTTTTGGCCGCCGGATGGTCCCATGTTATTGAAGGATATTATTGTGGCTTGGGTGCGATTGTACTACATCCTTCGTTTCCTTGTCGGTTGTAGCGGGATGCATGTTTGTCCTGTTGATCGAAAATTATTATATGATTCCCGCTGCGGCGGCTTAGACTTTGCTTTTGTTTTAACGGGTTGCAGTTGGTTATTTCTGCGGCTGCCTCATAAGGATACGTTGCATCACGGGCTACAGAATACTTGCATCATTGGCGGCCTCGTCCGAGAAGTTTCCGCTTGCGGAGTACCACATCGGGATTCCTATTGCGGCGGCCTTACGCACGATCTCCTCTTCTGTAGGTTTTCTGCCGGGATTTCTTCTGCTGTGGATTACAATGTGGGATTATTGCTGTTGCGGTTCTGCATTTCAAATTGAGTCCCGTTTTGGCGGGTTGGAAAATATTGCAGTTGTGTCGGATTGCGAAAAGAATTCTTTTCGCGACGGGTTACAAACTGTTTCTTCTTGTGGCGGATTGCAATGTGACCCCGACCGTTGCGGACAACAAATTATTTGTTTTTCGGTGGCGGATTGCAAATTGATCCCTTGTTCGTGTTGCGGTGGATTACAGCTTGTTCCCTTTTTGTGGCGGATTACAAATGGAATCTTCTACTGGCGGGTTACGTAAGGATTGCCTGTTGCGCAGGACTGCAAAAGGATCCCCGTGGCGGCGGAGTACAAGCTGATTGCGTTCGTGGATGACTGCGGATTGATTCCGCTTGTGGCGGCTTGCAGGTGGATTCTCTCATCGGCGGGTCACATTTGTATTCCTTTTGTGGCGGATTATAAAGGATTCCTTTCTGTGGCGGATCACACTTTGTTTTTTTCTGTTGCGAATAGCACATGGCTGTCAATCTTGGCGGGTTACATGTTGATTCCTTTTTTGTCACGAGGTGCAGAACGGTTTGAAAGTATACTTAAATGATAAGTTGTTTTCTTCGGTGGGGGGTACTCAGGAAGACACTGGGAGGATACATAAAACATAGAGTCGAAGAACATTGTGTAACAAACAATGTGTTTTCGATGTGTGTGGTGCCGATTGCTGTGAACAAATATAGTGGGAAGTCGGTTTCGACGGAGCTAGCTGCCCTTGCGCCAGCGAGTTCGAGGCTGAGGGAAGAGGAGGCGCATGACCTCGTGCGTTTTTGTTGTTCGAATGGTTTTGGCCCAGCTTGCAAACAGCAGCTTGAATTCTCAGGGTCGCAGGAATCGGCTCGTGCCAGCCGCGCTGCTGCTCCCAAATGTTCGTGCTCGCCGTCACAAAAACACCCGGCAACCTCTCTCGCCCTTCGGTCGTATCGGAGGCTTGGAAATTGGCACCAACACCAACACAGGGGGTGGCCTCCTCAGGGGAAAATGATCCTCGATGTCGGTGTTGGTGGTAATTTTTAGGTCACTTCGGAAGCCATAATATTACTACCATCGCCGAAATCGGGTTCTTCTTCCCTCGGTGGAGGCACACCGCCGATATTGGTGTTGGTGTCAACCCCTAGGCTTGCGATAGCACATCATGGGGGCCTTGTGTGCCCTCGCAGCTGTGCTCTGTGAGCTCCTGAAAGTGCAACAGCGTCTGGTAATCGATGGGTAAGCGTCGATTACCGCGAGTAGCGTCCGTTAGCGTCGGTTCGCGAGCCAGCGAGGTAGCGTGGAGGTTGCCCTGAGCTGTCATCAAAATGTACATCCAACTTGCACCATAAGGATGGGCAACCTTCCAAAGGGTGCCTGTGCATCCTTGCCCCTTCGGCCCATCCTTAGCAGCTTTCGCTGGCCAGCCTCGTTCGAAAAACGTTCACATGTCACATGGGCCTCCACGGCACTTTGCATCCTTACCGCGCATCCTGATGATACGGGTTGACTGTACTCCTCCCCTCGTCATCTCCCCCATTTTTCTTCATCGCTGGCGGCATTCCTCCCAGGACCCAGACGGACGTCGTGATGTTTTCTAACAGAGGCGGACCCCTGGAGGCCTGCACCCCTTTCGAGAACGGGCTTGTCGTCTCTTGCTGTTTTTCTTGACGGCACTGGGGCCCCCCGTTTTCAGGGCTTCCCGAGAGGCCGAGAATGATCGGAAATCCCTCCGCCGTGTTTTGTTGTCACGACGCGATGGGGGGTCCCGTGCGGGCAACATCTATATCCAGATCTCCCGCGTCTTGGACCTTCCTGGCTGGGGCGCCACAAGGCCGAGGCGCACTGGATACGGACAAACATCGAGCCTCCAGGGGGGCAGATTGCTATCCATAATTGCCCAGTGCGCCTCGGGTTTCTCGGGAAGGGAGCCTGGCACCCCACGCTGCAGTGGACATTTAATACAAGTACTGCCCGCCGAAAGCTATCCGAAATCCATCGGGGGATGGCCTGGGCCGTCACCCTTGGCGACATTCTCGCGCTCCCGCCCCGCCGCGGCTGGCCGCGGCGAGGGCCCGTCCCCGGTGCCGGCCCGCCGAGGCAGCCGCCGTGCCGCGCGCGCGCGCGAGGCCGCGCAGCTGCTGGACATGCCCCCCCCGTGGAGCGAGAGGCCGGACATCCCGCGCGAGGCTCCTTTGGGGGCGCGCGGTGACCCTTGGGCGCGCCTCGGGCGAAGGGGGCCTCCACGCCCCCCCCCCCCAAGCCTCCAAGGCCGTGTGGTGGCGGACCGCGCGGTGAGGTGGTAGGGGTTTCCGAGGTCACCACGCGGTCCGGCACCGCGCGGCCGTGGGGGCCCCGACGGGAGGCCACTCCCGGGGGAGCGGCCGAGAGGTTCGGGGGCCTGCGGTTCGAACATTCGGGAATCGAACAATGACATAAGCATAAAAACTCGGAGCTCCGCGCGGATTTCTCGGATCGGCGCTGGACCCCCCCCCCTGGCGCGCAGAGCGCGCCAGGGGCGGCGCCGGAGGCGCCGTCAGGGGGGTCCAGCGCCGATCCGAGAAATCCTCGCGGAGCTCCGAGTTTTTATGCTTATGTCATTGTTCGTTCCCCTAAACATGCTGCGTCTTGGGAGGTCTGGGCTTGGACGCAAGATCCGGATCGGACAAGTTCTTCGCCAGGCTGAGTCGGGCCACGGGCAGTCGGGCTCTGCCTGCCTTGGGAAGTCCAGTGCCCCACAAGGGTCGTGACAGTGCGGTCTTGGAGCTCTACCTGGGCCCACGGGGCGTCATCCTCCTCCCAACATCTTTCATGCCATCCAAGCCCGTTCCCGGTGCAGCGAGCCGGTTCCCCTCTTCCTATGGCCTCATGATAGCGATTGATTTCCAAATCCCCCCTTTGTTTCTCACCCATTCTGCTGCTATGTGTTGAATTCCAGGTTCTTGACAGACAGTGAGCAGTAAGACGGAATTCCCGATCTTCGCCGCACGTCTTCATTCAGGCAGTGAACATCGTGGCGCCCGCGGGAGGAGGGAGGGAAAGGAAAGGCATCTGCACGGAGGAGGACGAGGATGAGGATGAGGAGGAGGAGGAGGTTTTAAATTGAGGACGAAAGAGCGCGCCGCTTACTTGAGCCCCGTGATGAGGCTTGCAAGGCCCAGAGAAGTTTTCTAGCAGCAGGCAAGCTCCCGTGGCCAAAGGGCCATCACATCTCGAATCTCTGGCTTCTCAAGGAAGGGGCGGCGGGTTGGTGGAGCCTGGTGGGGGGTAAGGACCCCCACTGGCCACCTTTGCAGTCGCCCTCTTCGATCATGACCGTTGCGAAGTGCAGAGGCGGCGCAAAGAGGATGAAGGCGGGAGGGCGGAGGACGGAGGATGGAGGAGGGTGTCGGGTGTATGGACGAACGGAAGAGGGACACAATTACTGAACACCCCCCCTCCCTCCCAAAACTCAAAGTTGGCACGTGCGGGGGAGACTGCGGTCGAGGTGCACCTCATCAGACCCAGCGCCAACTTTGAACATTGAGGCGTTGACAGATGAACGTGGCATGAGTGTTCGGTTTTTTTTTCCGAGGCCTGCAGGACGGATGGACGGCGGAGGGGGCACGGACGAAGGGCGGAAGGGGAACTGGGACGGGGAGGAGTCGGCCGGCAGGGAAAGGGAGGGCGGGGCAGCCCCGAGGAGGAGCGGGAGGTGCCCGGGGGGGCCTGCAGAGCGGCGTTCCGGAGGTCTGGCGCCCTGCACTGGGCCGCAGCAGGGGAGAGGCTGGCCTGCGAGCAGCGAGGGACAGACAACGGCATCAGCGCGTGAGCGTTTTCGTACTCATTGTCTTGCCGATCGGCGCGGGCCCCCGCACGCCCCCCGCCCCACCCCGCCCCCATGGAGCAGACCTGGGTTGTTTTTGGAGCCTGCTTCGAGCAGGTGGGGCCTCCCCCCCAGGACGCACGGGTGCAAACGGTTGCACTCAGCAAGGACCCGGACCCAGACCCCCCGCCTCCCTCCCCCCCCCCCCGCGCCGCCCAATGTCGAGACGCCGCACAAGACGACGCTCACCACGCGGTCGGGGAGCGGGCCTGCCACGCTTCGGCGTGACACGCCGTCCACTTCCCAGACCCCCCGGCTTGGACGCCCCGAGCCTTGCCGAGCCTCCTGCCCCTCGGAGCGCAGCGACACGCTATTACCGCGGGAAGGGCACAGCATATTGCCCCGGGGCCGCCGCGGCGACACGCCATGCAAGCGCTCCCCCCCCCGGCCGTAAGCAAAAGCTTCCGGAGGTCTGCGCGTTGTTCTTTGGATCGGCGCTGGGCCTGCATTCCTGGCTCGCGGAGCGCGCCAGGAGCGGCGCCGGAGGCACCGCCGGGAGGGCCAATCGCAGATATAACCGTGCGGAGTTCAGAGGAAGTGTATCTTTCCCGTTGTTGGCTCTTCGACGCCAGGCGCCCCGCTGAACTGCATCCTTCCACCGGACTTCAGTTTCTTATGATCCTCCCCGGGCAACGGTGACGATCGTACGTAGGGGAGTTGGCTTGGACTCCGACCCCCCACACCATACAGTGCCGTTTTCAATACATGCTCCGCGTGCGGATCATGGATCAAAATGCAAGGTTGTTGTATGAAAAACAACGATGAGGTCATGCATAAATTCATTCATAAATTAATCATGTGTTCAAATCCCATGTTTCCAAACATCCCATGGATTAAAAACTGCCCCGTATGCTGGAGCGCACACTACGGCGATCGCAGCGCACCTCCGCCCCGACGTGCCCGAGCGTTACCGTTGCCCCCTTTTCCTCGGGTAACGACTGCTACCAGACATGGAGGAGGAGGAGGAGGAGGAGGAGGAGGAGGAGGAGGAGGAGGAACATGTTATACGATTGCCTTCCATGGCCCCTGTGGGGCCCAGTGACACGTTACGAAGGAAGCTCCATATTCAACGTCGGCCGTCCCGAGATGTCGTCGCGCAATGTTCGTACGCATTCGAGGCGTCCCTCTCTCTGCCACGCAGCAACACTGCGCCATCGTGGCAGTGAGTTCCCGCTGGCACCAAAAGGGTGGTCACACTCGAGCCCGTAGCTTTCGCAGTTTTGAACAAAGGAACTACCAGCAGGGCGATCCCCACGGACGTTCTCTAACGTCACACCAGCTGCTCTCTCCCTGTCAGATTCGAAAAGTCAATGCCCAGCGCAGTCTGAGGGCTTCTCAGCGCCCGTTGCCCTTCAATCACATGCAGGGCCCCAAAAGCCGGCAAGGGGCAAGGGACAACGTTTCGAATGCTGCCCAGGGCTCTCGGAAGTGGGCTCCACGCCCCGGCTTGCCCCCCGCTCTCCCCCCCCACCTTCGGGGGCGGAAAAGAGGGGGGGGGATGACTAGGGGGGGGGTGGATATCATGGCGGGGGCCATGATATTTTCCCAGATTTCATGGCGCCTCTTCTTATTTCATTACGTCCCTGGCCCCCCCGCTGGGCCGCGCACATGCCGCCAGTCATGATTTGCACCCCCCCTCTTGGACACCCCCCTCTTGGCCGCTCCCGACACCTGTCTCGCGCCGCCAGAAGTTCCACGAGCGCTGCTACATGGGCGAGAAGACGATCTTCTACCACAAGTGCAAGGTCGAGCAGTACGCGCCCTACACCCAGGAGCCACCTGGCCGCTCCTGCTAACACATTTCTTCTTTTTCGTTTTGTTGCCAGGCTACCTTTGTATCATGTTTCGTCCTCTGCCTCCTGCTGTCCGTTCAGCAGTCTGCCGTCGCAGCTTCGAGCCTTCCCAGCCTGGAGTGACTGCCCCCCGCATCCCCCAAATAGGTGACTGAGGCGCGGCGTCCACAACGTACTCCTTCGAAACGAGGGCGCCCCCCACCTACCCCCAGACCCTGCCATGGCCACCCCGGGGGAGCTCTGCAGGCCTCATTGTTGGGAACCCATCCCCTCCGAGACGCTCTCGGCGGCGAGCTTGGGGGAGAAATGAGAGGGGGCGGGCCTTCTCAGAAGGCTCGGAAGTCCCCCGGCCTTCTGAGAAGTTTTCGAAGCCTGCCCCGAAGACGCGACAAAAACTTCTCAGGAGGCCGGAGCGCTTCTGAGAAGCCCGGCCGCCTTCTGAGAGGGCCCCCCTCTCCTCCGCGCTCCCCCCCCGCCTTCTCCGTCCTCGCTTTCCCCCCCACGCTTGCCGCCGACGCTCGAGCTCGGCCAGAGCTTCTCGACGGAGCTCGGAGGGCACCAACTATACACCAACACCGATCCTGGCCCAGGATCACCCTGGGCCCAGGATCGGTGTATATGCCTTCTTGCGCAAGGCAGGAGGGCGTATACACCGATCCTGGGCCCAGGGTGATCCTGGGCCAGGATCGGTGTTGGTGTATAGTTGGTGCCTTCCTAGGAGCTCCCGCCGCCCGGACTACCCCCCCCCCCCCGCGGCGCACGCTCCGGCCCCGCAGGCGAGTCAGCGGACAGCTCGCGGGGAGGCCGATCGGTCTGCGCCGCGGGGGGGTCGGCGCGGCTTCGGCTCGGGTCGGGGCAGCAGGGGCGCAGGCCGCCCGCACGGTGAAGGGCGGGCGACGTTCCCAACGGCACCCCCCCTGGCATCCTTGCCCCCTCTCGGCCCATCCTTCGCGACGCTCGCTGGCCAACCTCGATCGAGGAGCGCGAACGTGGCCCTCCAAGGCCCGTGCATCCTTACCACGCACCCTTCTCGTACACGCCCCCCCTAGCGCGTGGAGGGATGGACCCCCCAGCTCCAGAGTTCGACGTAATGGAGGATGACGATTAATAAATGACCGGGGGTCGTGTTCACGCGGCGGCGCCCGGGATGACGATTAGAAAAAACCGGCCGCGGGCTGGAAAACTATTTTCTTTAATCGTCCTCCTCCAGTCAGAAACGTGTGCAGAAATGACAGACAACTATTCTTCTCATCGTTCCCCCCTCATTTTTTATTCATCGCCATCCCGCATTATCCTTACCACGCACCCCTCTCGTAATTACACGCCCCCCCCTAGCGCGTGGAGGGATGGAGCCCCCCAGCTCCAGAGTTCGACGTAGTGGTACGGCCGGGCCGAGGTGCTTTGAGGTCGAGGTCGGCTCGGGGCGCGCCCCCGGAGGTTCTTCGTGTGGTCGCGGCATGTCCTCTTGTGCCTCCTGGGGGGGGGCCCTCGAAGGTTCTGCAGTCTGGCCGGCGTGGTGTCCCATGTCCTTGATCAGGCCCTCGGAGACCAGGACACAGATAAGCCAGGACACGGAAGACCAAGGAAACGACGTCCTTTCCTGCTTAAGGCCACAATTTTCAGCACCCGTGCGCGTTTTGCTTGCTGCACTGCAGGATTCGGGTTGGTGTCCGGGTTCAGGGAGGTCTTGCAGGCTTCTGAGGCTTGTGTTCGGGTTTATTCTGGAAGTGCTGCAGTGCAGTATTGTGGTCGTGCCGCCGTTTGGAAAATTTCGTTTCGAGGGATGTTGGGTGTCCGGGTCTAGCGTGTCCGGGTCTACGGGGCCCTGACTTGGAAGGATATTCTTCTGTCCTACGAGCCTTGTCAAAAGTAGCCAGACATGGAAGTGGAAACCCTGGGGCACGATCCTTCCGGGCACTGGTCACAAAGCGCGCGCTCTTCAGTGCTGAGAGGGTGGGGTCGGCTTTTGGACAACACCGCGTCCGAGTCAACAGGAGCCCGTCAGCATTGGAGTAGCGCGGACCCCACAAGCACCGAATTCAGACGTCTTCTGCTTATTTTTGACGAGGCCTGTGGGTCTGGCCGCATTCCTCTGCACGGGACGCATCTCGGCATGGCGCCACCCGCCCTCGATGCTGCCCAGGGTGCTTCCGAGTTGCTCACGAGGGTAGCCTCCTGAAGATCCGCGGGGGCCTCGTGGGGCGTGCGAGAGGCCCCCGGGGGGCCGCGAAGGGCATGCGAGGCAAAGGGCCTCGCCCACGCGCTTCCGCAGGCTCGCGGCGGCTCGCCGCTTTGTTGGCCTCTCTGGGAGGCCCAGCAGAAGTACGTCTTGTGCAGATCACCACGAGACCTCGCCGTCCCCTGGGGGGCCTGCGATCTGCGAAACCGTCGCCACTTTCGTGGGCTCCTGGCTGGTCCAGCGGAGGTACGTTCTACGCAGATCACCGCGAGACCTCGCCGTTCCTGTCGTGGGCCTCTCTGGGAGGCCCAGCAGAAGCACGTCTTATGCGGATCACCACGAGCCCTCGCCGTCCCCTGGGGGGCGCGTGATCTGCGAAACCGTCGCCACTCTCGTGGGCTTCCGGGTGGGCCAGCGGAGGTACGTCCTACGCAGAGTGCCGGTGTCTTCCGATGGGGCCCGGGGGTGCCTCGCAAGGATCTCCAGCGCCCCCGAGTGCAGCAAGTGCAGGAGAGTCGCCAGCGGGCTCTGCTCCGGGCGACACGGCGCTGGGTAGTTACTCGAGCAGGGGTGCCGGTCGCCGCCAGGGGGCGGTGAGTCGGCTACACGGAGGTGCGATGGGCCGTCTTGCGGGGTGATCCAGGGCGCGGCAGTACAGGCTGGGATGCCAGAGCGGGTTCTCCTTTTCAGGAGCGAAAGAAGGACGTACATGTACATTAATCCACGCTGGTTTCGAGAGCACGCATTGCACACATGTTCGTATAACGCGGCCGGTCTCGCGAATCGAGGGGCCGTGTTCATGTACATAGCTGGGCGCGTACGTCCTTTGTGGGCTCCCTACCTTTGACCCCCCGCCCCCTTTGGGAGCTCCTTCGCAGTGCGCCCCACTCGATCTCTCAGAAGTTGACCATGGGATGGGAGGAATGGATGGCGTCCGGCATCATTCGCAGATTCTCCCCAAGTTTCTTTTCCACCTCCTTGTTCGTCCATGCTGCCTTGCTGGTGTGTTCATTCACGTCCTGCGTCACTGAGCAGCTGCCAGTTTTGCCAGCCAAAGGATGACGGGCTCGTTCAGCGCATCACCCTCTACAAGGACGTGCGGCGACTCATCCCCCTGGAGATCAGGGAGCGCTTCAGGCACGGGCTTCTCTAAGCGGAACGCTGCGGCTGCGCTGCTTTCTGAACAAGTAGGAGCGTTGGCCGTGTCGTTGAGTGTCCCGCTGCGTCTCATTCGTGGAGTTGCCAATTTTGCGCCCTGAGTTCGTTCACTGTGCGCCATGGTTGCAGGAACGATGCGCGATGGGAGTTGGATACCATGTCTTGTGATGCCGAATGGCATCGCTCCGCTGCTATTTGCGAGTGCCGCTGGCATCGTGCGCTGCCCAGAAACAGGGACCCCCCCCAAGCGTCGCACTCCTGTGACATCTTGGCTGGCGACCAGGTGCGCAGGGTCAGGTGCAGAGGTAGTGTTAGGCGGTCGGTTTTACGAGGGACATCGCGAACAGCAGGAGGACTAGCCGCCAGTCTAGCCATCCCAGTAGTTCCTCTGGCTCCCGCCGATCTTCCAGCATTTGCATCGTTTCTGCGATGGTTTCCGTTGATGCTCCGTCCTCTTCCGCCGAGGGGGAGAATCCTGTTCCCCGCTCTGACAGGAAGACAAGGCCCCGCATGGACCAGCGGTGCGGATAACAATTGCGGAGGGGACCGCAGGCAGGCTGCTGTCGAAGCCGTGGGCAGCAGGTCGTTGTGGGAAGGGGGCGCCCCAGCCTTCGAGCCCCGATGCACGAGAGCTCCAACTCATCATCCCCAAGTTCCAGCCCCTCCCCCAAGATGCGTCTTCCTCACACGTCACGCCCCCTCACCTCACGAACAATGACGTGTCGCTAGTTTTGACCATCCATGCAGACGTTGGACCACCTGCCCCCGTAGAATCCTGCAACATGGGGTTCGCCTGCGGCGGGGAGTAGGTTTCGGCGCCACCCCTGTGTTCCTGTTCAAACTATGAAGTCATGGCCGTGTGAAAACTTACTTCGCACGTGTTCCCAAATGGAAAACTTGCTCCGCCCTCGGGATGAGCTCGCCCCGCTGGTTCTTGCAGCACGAATGAATTAGTCCACTTCATCTGAAACTTACTCCGCGCTGTTCATCCCGACGGCGAAGGGACTCTGCGCTCTGGGATAGATTGCCTCGTTACAGTAAGGCCTAAGGTTGCGCTCACTCCGTGCGCCTTGATTCACACGCGCACCGTGGCAGAATGCTCACAAACATTAGTAGCGCGGGAGTAGACATGCCAGTATTGGGGCGTGGCGCTTGGTCTCGAAATTCCCGCCAAGCTACGACCCCGAAGCTGAATGTTTCCAGCAGTTGCACGGATGGATGGCGGGCGCTATTTTCGCATTTTCGCCGCACGCATGTTTCTTAAATGCCTTGAGCAGTTGCACGGATGGTGCCCGTAGCTCTCAACCGAGTTTCGTGTTTAAATGGCGTGTATGTAGAGCGATTCCCAGGCAGTGTCTGAATTGGAGAGGCCCTTACGTGGATTGCAATGAGCGGGCCTGGTGTGTAAGGATCCTGCCGTTGTCGCCACCGCGCAGTCCACCGCGTAACTACCGTGGAGCCCACCGCACACTGGGCAACACACCGCGCACCGCGAAGCCGCCGCGTTACCCTCCACGAAACCGCGCAATCCGCCGCGCAGTGGACGCATACGCACCCACGTGCGATTCCGTGCGCATGGCGCTCCGTCATGGGGGTCCACACGGAAGGGGATTCCACACGCATTGGGTTCCACGCGCATGGGTTCCCACATGTGACAGGGAACGCTCAAGCCCACCGTCACCACTTTCAGCGACGCCGCCACCGTGCGCTGCGAGGGCGAAGGTGCGGCGCAGCCACGGCAGACCCTCGGAGCGCCGGCCCAGAGGCCCAGCGGGCGAGGCGTCGTGGCGCGAGGGCGCGACGGGCGGTTGCGCGCCGCCTGTGCGGGCTGCCGGCTGGCAGGCCCGAGGCAGGCGGCGGGGGGGGGGGGTCGGCGTGCTGCGCCTCCCCGGGCTCGCGCGAGCCTCTCGATGTGGGAGTGGTGGGCCGAAGTGCTGCGCCTGGCCTTCGGGGCGTCTGACCTGGCAGCCGCCGTGCGGCGCCCAGCCACCACGGTGGGCCAATGTCCCACCACCACTACCAGGTACAGGGCGGGGGAGAGGGGAGGATGACGAGGTCCTCCTCCGCCTCCTCCTCCTCCTCCTCCTCCTCCTCCTCCTCCTCTTCCTCCATCTCCTGTATATGGTAGCGGTGGTGGAAGATGGGCCCAGCACACCAGGCTGCTGCCTGTCCGCGTCGCCAGGCGTTCGGGGGGGTTCCGTGCTGCGGGGCAGCCTCTTGTTCTGGTGGCCCTCGGACGGGCTCCTGAGTGGCTGCGGGGCAGCCTCTTGCCCTGGTGTCTTCGCTTGGCGGCGTGTGCGGCTCGTGGGGCCCACGGCCGAACCCGCATCGCAGGTGGCATCGGGGACATTGGCATCCACACGCGAGCAGGGGCTCCCGCACGACGTAGGGTCGGAGGCGTCCACATGGGGCTCCACACGCACACGGGGCTCCACGCGCGCAGGTGTCCACACACACATCGGGTTCCACGCGCACGGGGCTCCACACATACACACACACACACACGGGGTTGTACGCACAGGGTGCTCGACACTCGTTGGGCTCCACAGGTGCTGTTCCGCTCCGTGGCATGCCTCGCTCCGACCGGTTCCTCGTAGGACTGGCCCCTCGCAGGAGTGGCCTCCGCTGCACAGCATCCAGGGCGGGGGAAGGGCCGCCAGAGGCCACAGCAGGCAGGCCGCCACCATCCGCATCGCACAGCACGATCGGCAAGCCGCGCGCCCCAAAAGGCCACCTCTTGCTTACCAGCCTGGAACATATCCCTATCCCTCTGTTCGGCATCGCCTCGTCACGATGCCCATCTTAGGGATTCCCTTATCTTTTTCCCCATATCCTAAGGATTGGGGTTCTTGTTATTACTCTGACGCCCCCCACTGCTCCTCCTTCCTCCCGCTCGCGCCTCCCTCCTCCCAATGATAATCACCAGATAAGACAAGACAAGATAAGATACTACAAGATAAGATAAGATAACACAAGATATGATAAGGTAAGATAAGATATATGACAAGGTAGGACAATAGATAAGATAAGACAGCCTACTGAGTACTAAGATAAGACAAGATATGATGCGATAAGATGAGTTGATATAAGATAAGCTAAGACAAGATAATAGATTTCACTCACACTCTCTCATGATCACAAAACGCTGCCAGGGGCATCATTTGGGAGCCCCAAGGGGGAGCCACCCTGGCTGATCTCACGAGCCCGTTCGCGCCGATTTTGGTGGGACGTCTCAGCTAAAATTGCCGTTTGGCCTCCCCAACATGTCTCTCTTGAGAGCCTCATGATCACAAAACGCTGCCAGGGGCATCATTTGGGAGCCCCAAGGGGGAGCCACCCTGGCTGATATCACGAGCCCGTTCGCGCCGATTTTGGTGGGACGTCTCAGCTAAAATTGCCGTTTGGCCTCCCCAACATGTCTCTCTTGAGAGCCTCATGGTCACAAAACGCTGCCAGGGGCATCATTTGGGAGCCCCAAGGGGGAGCCACCCTGGCTGATCTCACGAGCCCGTTCGCGCCGATTTTGGTGGGACGTCTCAGCTAAAATTGCCGTTTGGCCTCCCCAACATGTCTCTCTTGAGAGCCTCATGGTCACAAAACGCTGCCAGGGGCATCATTTGGGAGCCCCAAGGGGGAGCCACCCTGGCTGATCTCACGAGCCCGTTCGCGCCGATTTTGGTGGGACGTCTCAGCTAAAATTGCCGTTTGGCCTCCCCAACATGTCTCTCTTGAGAGCCTCATGGTCACAAAACGCTGCCAGGGGCATCATTTGGGAGCCCCAAGGGGGAGCCACCCTGGCTGATCTCACGAGCCCGTTCGCGCCGATTTTGGTGGGACGTCTCAGCTAGAATTGCCGTTTGGCCTCCCCAACATGTCTCTCTTGAGAGCCTCATGGTCGCAAAACGCTGCCAGGGGCATCATTTGGGAGCCCCAAGGGGGAGCCACCCTGGCTGATCTCACGAGCCCGTTCGCGCCGATTTTGGTGGGACGCCTCAGCTAGAATTGCCGTTTGGCCTCCCCAACATGTATCTCTTGAGAGCCTCATGGTCACAAAACGCTGCCAGGGGCATCATTTGGGAGCCCCAAGGGGGAGCCACCCTGGCTGATCTCACGAGCCCGTTCGCGCCGATTTTGGTGGGACGCCTCAGCTAGAATTGCCGTTTGGCGTCCCCAACATGTATCTCTTGAGAGCCTCATGGTCACAAAACGCTGCCAGGGGCATCATTTGGGAGCCCCAGGGGGGGTCCACCAGGGGCTTCATAGTCACCAAACGCTGCCAGGGGCAGCATTTTGGCTTCCCAAAGAGGAGTCGACCCGGGCCTCCTAGTCGCCAGACACTGCCAGGGGCACCATTGGGATTCAGACTCGCACCCAGACTCACTCATACACAAGCTCACTCACACTCAGATTCATTTCTTCAGAGTCAGGCACACACAGACGTACCCATACTCAGACTCACCCACACTCAGGCTCACCTAACCCAGACTCCGTCAGAAGCCAGTAGCGAAGAGAGCAGAGAGAGAGAGAGAGAGAGAGAGAGAGAGAAAGAGAGAGAGAGAGAGAGAGAGCGGGAGAGAGCGAGAAAGAGAGAGAGAGAGAGAGAGCGCGCGAACGCGAGCGCGAGCGCGAGCGCGAGCGCGAGCGCGAGCGCGAGCGAGAGAGAGAGAGAGAGAGAGCGAGCGAGCGAGCGAGCGAGAGAGAGAGAGAGCGAGGAAGAGAGAGAGAGAGAGAGGAAGATAGAGAGAGAGAGAAGGAGAGAAAGAGAGAGAGAGAGAGCAAGAGAGAGAGAGAGAGGAAGCGAGAGAGAGGGAGAGGAGAGAGAGAGAGAGAGAGCGGAGAGAGAGAGAGAGGGGGAGTTGAGAGAGAGACAGGCGAGAGAAAGAGAGAAGAGAGAAGAGAGAAGAGAGAGAGAGAGAGAGAGAGAAAGAAGAGAGAAGAGATAGAGAGAGAGAGATAGAAGAGAGAGAGAGAGGAGAGAGAGAGAGAGAGAGAGAG